TGGAAACTGGCCCCAGGATCTGGGGAAGCAGGAGTTCATTTGCATGCACCTGATCGAGCTTGTTCGATACCTCTTCACTTCAAACGCAATTCACTAGCACTCTATGGGACGATCAGCAGAGTATGCCAAGAGCCAGGTGAGATCCATGGAGAAGGAGGAGCCAAAGCCCAAGATGATGATGAGGTTTTGGTGATTCGAGTGATCCTGAAGTTGAATGAAGAGTTCTGGACCCACTATGGCCTCAGAGCTTGGCGAACCACGAAAGATGGCAACCCTATGAGGTTTTGCTATGAGACAAAGAACTTCGTGGATGGGCAACTCATGTGGAACTTGAACTGGTGGCCATTGAGGTCAACTTTGATCAGGAAGCTGGATGACACGTGGGAGTTGGTTGGACACTGCGCTCGTTACTACACCAATGAAGAACCTGATGGTGAGATTCTAGAGTGTGGTGGAATGGAAACTCAAACGTTGACAATCCTGCACAGGAAGAAAGAGCCGATTTCTTTCTTTGGCACGGTCATTGGTGAGCAGACAGCTACTGGAGGAGGAATTCAAGTTGACAGTGATGATTTCCAATTCAGTGGAGAGCCAAATGTTCCTTTTGAGTTGAACCCACAGCAGGAGGTGTTGGCTGAGGAGGTTGAGCAACAGGATGCAGAAGGAGACCCTTGGAGCGGTCCCATACCTATGTTTGAGAACAAGGCTGCCCTAGTGATCAACGACACTGATCTGAGCGAGAGAAGTTCTTTGCGCGCATTGAGAGAGGCAGCAGAGTTCCTTGGTGTGGGACGTGGCGGCTCCAAGAGCTCGTTGTGGACGAGGATCAACCAAGAAGTCCAAAAGATGGAGAACAAAGAGCTTTTCACAGCAGCAAACAGGCTGTTCAGGGAACAACATCGACATCAAGGACTTGTTCCCGTACGTGCTCCCCGGCAACCGAGCACAGCAGAGAGAGAGTTGCATGAGCTGACACACATTCCATTTCAGCAGTGGTGCGACTTTTGTGTTGCTTGCAAGAGCCGTGTGGACCCTCAGAGAGTTCTTGACCACTCGGAAGAAGGCAGAAGGTCCATACCTGCAATCCAGCTGGATTATGCTTTTGGCAAGTCTCGTGCCGACGAAGTCAACAAGAACATTGAGCTGGTGACCTCTCTGACAGGTGTGGATGCTGAAACTCGAATGCTGCTGTGTGTGCCAGTGGAAGGCAAAGGCTCTGATTTGCGCAATCAGGCAGAGCATGTGGTGAGGTTTTCCTTGTCCCTCAACTACTATGGAAATGTGGAGGTGATTGGCGACAGTGAGCCAACCATGAAGGCGCTGCTGACGTATGTGAAGACTTTGCGCCACAGTTTTCGACGGGAGACCACCATCACTTTCAGTATGAAGAAGGGCCAAACCAGTCGAGTTGAACGAGCCATCCAAACTCTTCGAAGACAGGCCTCAACATTGATGGAAATGTTGCAGGACAAGTGCAAGTTGAACTTGGCCAGTGAGCATCCACTCTGGCAATGGTCCTACCTTCATGCTGCATGGCTGCTGAATAGGTTTGGAGCCCATCGAGCGATTCAAGCAGCTCCTTTCGAACTTGCTTTTGGCAGAAGGTACACTGGCAAGGTTGTGTGCTTTGGGGAGTTTGTCATGGTCCTGAACAAGCAACCTGGTGCAAAGCAGGGACCCCAATGGCTTCCAGGAGTGTGGGTTGGTAAGACCAACGAGGATGACCTCCACATGGTGATTGGCACTACCGGATTGCTGAGAGGCAGATGAAGAAGGTCAGTTCTTCCGAGACAGAGATGCCGACGATGTAGAGAGGTATGCTAGAGAACATGGAGATGGTGAGAGCCCCAGAGAAGAGCCGAAGAGTGAGAAGAGAAGATCAGTAGGAGAAGCTGAAGGTGAACCTGCAGATAAGTACATTTGCATTCCTCCCATGCCGCTTGGACTGGATGATGATGAAGTGGGAGAAAGACGGCCTACAACAGGGAAAGTAAAGCTTCCGATGACCCCGAGACATCCACAGGCGAAGGCAGCTCGATCTCAGCCAGAAGGAAGTCCATCCCATCTGTATCCACCAAAGTATGCCGGGAACGTCCAAGTGGTGCCAATTGGCCAGGTGAAATACCCAGTGAATGATGAAGGATGGGAAGAAGAGCTTGAGTCCTATCTGGAAGTTGAGGAGGCTGATGAGTGGCCATCGCTGGATTTTGAGGAGGATGTAGATGAAGGACATCCTCCAGAAGTGAGTCCAGAGGAACTCAAAATCATAGAAGAGGCTGCAGGACAAGAAGAGATTGAGAGGCTTTTGAAGATGAAGGTTCTGGAAGACCCCACTCCAGATGAGCTTGCAGAAGGCAGCATTTTGACTACAAGGTCAGTTTATGACTGGCGTGTTCGAGAGAAAAGGTGGAAAAGAAGATGTCGTTTTGTTGCAAGAGAGTTCAGAGGAGGAGACGCTTCCAGTTCCAAAACGTTTGCACCGACTTCATCCTTGAGTGCAACCCGGCTTCTCTTGTCAACCCATGTTTTGATGGGTTGGAAAATCATGTTTGCAGACATCAAGGACGCCTTTCTACTGGTCAGTCAGACCAGGTTAGTACTGGTGGAGCAACCACCATGGTGGCGACCTGAAGAGCTGTTGACCTTGACCACTTGAGTCTTCCTGCACTCTTTCGACATGAACACCGTGAACTTGCAGCTGTTTGTCACGTTGATTCTCACGTTGATGACATGATGATTGCTGGACAGGTGGAGCATGTGCAATGGCTGTCGCAAGTCATGAAGGAGAAGTTCGTGCTGAGCGAGTCTGGTGTGCTCCCAGTGGATGGACAGCTGGAAGAGGAAGCAGTAAGGTGTTTGAAGAAGCGCCACTTCTTCGCAAAGGAAGGTTTGGTTGTGATGCCCCATGAGAAGTACATCCCAAGCCTGATGGAGCTCTACCAGCTTGAGAGAAGGGCCGGAAAAGCAACGCCGGAGAGTGCGCAAGAAAATTTGGAAGGACCTCCAGAGGAAGTGCTTGAGGGCGATGAGCAGTTCAAGTTTCGCTCTGCCTGGGGACTTTGCTCTACATCAGCCAAGACCGGGTTGATATTCAGCATGCTGTGCGGAATCTGAGCCAGTTTATGGCTAAGCCCACGAGGAAAGCAGAAATGGAAGTCAAGCACGTGATCCTCTACCTGAAGAGAACAGAGAATTATGGCCTGCTGCTTCCATATTTGAAGACTCGCAGCAAGAAGGCAGAGATCATGGGCCAGGTGGAGGAAGAAGAAGAAGACAAAGACTTCCTTGAAGTATTCTCAGATTCTGACTGGGCTGGTGACAAGAGCAGCTCAGCTAAGAGGAGGCACAGTGTTTCTTCGGTCTTCATGTTCCTGAATGGGTGCTTGATCACAAGCTGGTCACATTCACAGAAGTCGATTGCCTTGAGCTCTTGTGAGGCTGAGTTTCTGGCTTCTGCCGGAGGAGTTGCTGAGGCCATTCAGGTCAAAGATCTGTGGCAGTTCTTGAGCCGCAGGATGGTGATGATCAAAGCCATCACCGATAGCAGCTCGTGCCGCGCCTTCACAGAGCGGCTTGGTGTGTGCAGATTGAAGCACATTGACATCAAGTACCTCTGGATGCAGCTTGAGGTGAAGAAAGAGACAATGGTCATGGAGGGAATCCCCACTCTCCTCAATGTCTCTGACATTGGGACGAAGAGGCTGTCGAGGCAACGCCGTGAATTCCTGATGTACCTCATCGGCATCACTGAGATGAATGCAGAGGGTAAAGACGAGATCTTTTCCAAGGTCGGTGAGGAGACTTTCAGTCAGGAACTTGAGAAGAAGATGTTGGCCAAGCAAATGAAGGAAGTGAAGAAGCAAATGATTCAAACGGTGGTTGAGGAGAAAAGCAGTTGGGGGTTGAAGATCCCTACCAGTGTAGTGAGAGCAGTGACCTTGCTTTTACTGCAGCACAGTGCTGGAGGAGAACCGGTGACAGAGGTAGCTGATGAGAAGGTACCAGCAGAGGGCTACTCTTGGTGGTTTGTCATCAAGGCCTTAGCTATCTACACCACCTTTGTGTTCCTCTATGGCATGTATGTTGGCTACCGGTACCGAGTGAAGCTCTCAGTGTATCTCAGGACATTTCTCCGGTTCTTGAGGCAAGAAGAGACGATGGAATTTCAAAGGCAACAGGATGAGTTTGCAGAGATTGGCATGATCATGAGGGCAAGACTTGCAGCAAACCGAGGAGAATGGAACCTTGTGAGAAGGGCGAGAAATTTACCTCCAGGTCTCCAGAGGACAGATGAAGAGGAAGAACAACCAGAAGAAGGATTGCAAGAGAGACAACAAGAAGAACGGGCACCAGAGTTGGAGCATGCGCCACAGGTGGAGCAATCTACAGAGGTGCAAGAAGAAGATGAAGAGGAGCCCGATGAAGAGATGGATGAGCAGGATGGTGAGACTGAAATGCAACAGAGGACAGCGGGTCACATCATCACAGATTGGGACCCGATGACTGGGACGTTGGCAGACTACCGAGTACTGCAAAGTGAGGAGGATGCTTTCAGCGGAGAAGAATACTTTATGGGCAATGCAGTGAGTGGGTACCACAGGTACTACAAGCCAACGGCTTCAGAGAGAGAAGATCCCAGCTTTGAGAATGATGCGGCGCCGCCTGCTTACATGGATGTAGATGATCCACCACCTCCTGAAGGCTACAATGAGGCAGCAGAAGATCCGAACAACCGATCTGCATTTGATCCTCCACCAGTTGATGTTGACTGGTGGGAGTTCGAGAACCTCTTCAAATACATGAAGAGGGAGGAAGAGCAGCGAGCTCGCCGAGTGCTCCAGGCTGGACTTTTCACCACGCGCCAGCTGAAGGAGTTCATGAGGACAAGATTGGCTTCCATCTACAGCCGATCGTTCCCCCATATGGCGTTTGACCACATCGTGCATTGGGGGATGGATGACCGCCATGACTATGGCACCTTTTGCAAGATAGTGTTGGCCGGAGACTGGGACGAGGATTTCGACTGGTTCGTCTGGCTCTACTTGGAGAGGTGAGTTGGAAGCTCCAGAACGCTACCAACTCAAGGTGGAGTGTTGGATGTTTTCACTTCATGCACCCGTGGCTCAAGTGGCCCAAGTTCTAGCGTAGAAAAGGGCGCGCGGTTCGCTTTTGCGGTTTCTTTGATTTCTCTTTCATTCGCGCTGCCACCTTTCCTTCACCTATACTTCTGCCCTTTGCTTTGCTTTTGTCCAGCCCAGGTTTCAACCTAAAGCACACAATAGCACTCACTTGTCGCTCTTTGGTTCTCCAGAATGAGCAACTCTAGGCGGCGCACTGCATGGACAGACTACAAGATCGACGAAGACTGCCACGGCCAAGATAAAGACGCCGAAGAGTTGCGGCAGAGATTGTCGCGGCAGTCCACTGCTGAGACAGATCTTGGCATCTTGGCAGCTGGTGATATCTTTTCTGCGTTCAGATATCGCTGACCCCCAGCCATTGTTCTTCTTCTTGTTGTTGTTGTTGGTGGTGGTGGTGGTGGAGGACATAAACAAGAGGCCGCCCAACATAGTTGTCACATGCTGTAACTCTGGATCTTCAAGGGGACAAGGTTAGGGATATGTTGAGTGTTTGATGGAATGTTGGTTTCCTAAGTAGCTGGAATTGTTGGACTTGTTTCACTGAAGCCTCTGTTTGTCCGTCTTTAATTTTTTTGAGGTGTTTTTTTGGACTGGTGGGGACAAAAAACAACCGCGGCGCTGCAGCCTTTGTTTCTAGGACGGGATAGAGACAACAACGCCGTGCCCAAAATAAGGTTACAGCGCCTGTAAGGGGCCGTGCGTTTGAGTGTGTTTTTCAAGTTGTTGTTTGTTGGCATTTGCTTATTCTCCCACGTTTCTGGCGTTTTTTTTCCGACATTGTTGTTTTGGAGGAGGTGAAAGTGCTGAAAGGGTTGCTCGGAAGGTCTGTATTTAGGTGTTTCGGTACACCTTTAAACGTTTTGGATAGAGGAAAATTCTGGTCTTAAAGTATCCTGTCCACCGCGTAGAATCAAAAGCGTTTGCAAGTACAAGTGACGTCAACAGAACCCCACCCACCCCAGGTCAACACCATGAAAGCAAAGCACATGCATAAACGCATGGCCCCTTAGGGGCGCTGCCACGTGACTTGGCTTGCTAGATTCTCCTGGCCAGCAAACAGGCTTCTGCAAGGTTTCACTTGCACTGTATTGAATCTCATTGTACTTATCATTACTTATCACAAGAATATATGTCGGACACACACACACACTTTGATATTGGGTTTGCAGTTAACTCAGTTCCCAGGTCGAAAAGGGCGATGGAACAGAAAGGTGGCAAGGTCCGCAGAACAGTATTGTTTAACAAAGGTTTACGCACATCTACAGCTCACGACACGGCGGTGGCGAAGCGAACGGCGCGGCTCATCGGCAGGAAAAGGTTTTGGGGAGGAATCGTGCAAGGACCATGAACCAAAAAAATGGAGAAGTGGAGTCACAGCTTTCTCAAAAATTCTCGCAGGTGCACAGTGGAGCGTCCTCCACTGCATCAGCACCGACTGGCACCCTCTTCGTTGGACGGGCGGTGCCAGTGGTGTCCCGTCCCCCTGCGTGTTGAAAACTCTTGGAAACAGAGTGTGACACACACAGCAAACTCTCAATTGACCATATAGCATTTGATGACATTTCGCCCTGTGACATCTTGCCCGTGCTCAAGACTGTCTTCAGGGCGGGCTTGCGGCGTGGCTCGACCGGGCTGGGATCCCTTGGGCCTTGCCGACGAATCTGAACTGGATAGCTTGGTCTCCAAGCTCGAGCCCCCTCTCCCGGCTGAAGACACGACCTTTGACTGGACCATAGTGGCCATAAGCGGCCCGGCGAATGATGTGAAGGCTCAAGATGTTTATGTGAACAACTCTCCTGAGAGGTTGCGAAATCGAGTTTTTTGGATGCTGGAGATGGTTCAGAACCAGGTCTGAACTGTCAGCAGCCAGTTTGGTACCTCTTTGGGGGTGGATGACTTTTCGACGTGAAATGGGATGCCCAGAAAGTACAGATGGCGCTGTAGTTCCTAGCCAAGAAGATCCAAGGAGCTTGCCCATAACTTCCAATTCTTTGTTATTCTATGCTGGATTTGATCTTGGGTTCGACATGATTACCACAACCGATAGCGTACTACAATGGGTTCAGAATAGATGGCTCAAGGAATCCCAATCCAAACAAAACATTGCAGGTCACTTTGTTTGCAGAGGGATTGATAATTCCAAAGGACCGAATTGATTTGCCACAGCAAAACTCCTCCTAGGCCACACACACACCAGCAGAATCATTTGCATGATTGGACCAAGCTTAACTAGGAAGCGAAGGTTGTTCCAGGTTGGTGTTTGAACATGTCCACGCAAGTCTTGTTGGTGACACTAACGCTGAAGTATCAAAGAGTACACCATGACCATTTCATACCATTTCGATCCGTTTCTTGCTTTGATTGTAATTCTTTTACGGCTTCTCGCTGACTGAACAAAGTATTCTCTCTCTTTTGTTCCCGCTTCTCGTCTCGAGTGCTTTGGTATACGGTCCATTAGTCACAAGCGCCCTATATACCAGTGGCATGTTCTTGCTGCCAGGTGCGTGTAAGCTCGCGTCACCCGCGGAAACTCCGTTCTGACAAGCCATAGGGCTTGGACTCTGGACCTTGGGTCCCTGGATGGGGGACAGCGGAAACTGCTGCTACTTTGCATATCTTTGCATTGAGGCCGTGAGGTGGAACTCAAGAATGGCCGCAGCGCAATGTTCGCCTGCCTGGGTGGCGCGGCGTCGAATGGGCATTCATGTGGGCAACCGGCAGGATTTTGGGATGCAGTGATGAAGGTTCCTTCTTATTTTTGATTTCACTGACAATCCTGTATGGTAAAGTCATGTCAAGTCTCAATAGCAACAATTTACCGAATTAAAGATCTACCAATGGATCAAGAGGAGCTAGTCAACCTTCTCAGTATAAGAAAGATGTGCATATAGGTATTTTCAATGACCGATCATTGATGTTGCTGGGTGGGGGGCTCCGTGTTTCTTCTAGGAATGTTTCAATATGTTTCATCATTTTGAATCCCTTGATTGGTTTTGATGAGTCCGTGGATAAGAGAGCGTAAGAAGAAGTGTGCTTAAAAGACGCTGCTAGATGGGAATAGCTCCGACACTAAAAGGCGGGAGGATGCAACACATATACAAGGCAGGCTTGACAGAGTCATGCAAGTGTGACTCAAGGACATACTCGACTCAATATTGAGTGGTGTACGAAAAGCGAGTGGCCGCCCCTCGACGAAACCGAGGTCAGGTGAAAAAAAACCTCTACAACACGCAACAGTGCTCGAGCGTCCTCAAGTCAGGAACAAACAAGTTCCAAAGTTCCGAGTTCCAAGCTTTCCAACACTCAAGTACCGTCACAAGTCTTGGACATGAAGCGCCATGAAACCAAACGACAGTGGGAACAGTTCAGCAGCTTCGTTTATGGAGATCCCAGAGGAGGTGTTTGACTGCCACTGCTCTTCTGGAACCCCGGTGCCCCCCCACACTCGAGATACAGTAAGTGTTCCTAGAAGCGGCCTCAAAGGTGACCAAGCATCCTCAAGAAATGACCATTGGCCTTCCAAAGTTCAAGAAGTTCCAAGAGTTCAAGAAATACCCAAGCCCAAGCGGACGACGAAGCCGAAATCGAGCGCTCACATCTGCAGACCTGAATCATCTTGCAACAGCCTGAATGAAGACCTTTACGAGTGGAAGGTGAATACAACACTCACAAAATGTAGCAGGTACACGAATGGACGTCTCCATCCGCTTCCCCTCCAGCGATTTAGCTTCGTAGCCAAACGGCTCCCTATGATTCCAGGGGTCAAGCACACACAATCCTGCTGAACATATATAAACTTGAAATCATGACCCTGGGTGTCCAGATGTCCATTCATGCTGTAAAGACCAATTTTGCTACCCAGAGCTGGATGGCTAGCTGCCTGGAGTCTTCAACTTTGTATGCGCACCTTTTGAGCTTGAGGGTCTTGATTCTGTGCGGAGTTTCTGTCCATGGAATTTTGTTTTGTCAAGTAGTAGCTGACCTTGGGGTCTTGGATTTCATGCAAGCTCTTGACTTTATATATTGTTGGCGCAGAGACCTTGAAGTGCCTGAGAGTTAGGATATTGAGGGTCATGATTCTGCGGTCAAGGGTTGCTGGCATGTGGCTTTGTCCAAAGATGTCCCAAAGGCAATCCAAGGCTCAGGGGAGTAGCCTTGAATATGCCTGGCAAGTGGCTGCAATATGATGCAACACCAGTATAGAAAGATATAGACAGCAACATAGACAATATAATGAAGACAGTACAAAACATAAAGTCAGAGGGGTTGCAGGCCGTCAAGCCTGGTCTCCTGTCCACATGCATCCCAAGCTCCCTGTGGGCACCAGGTTGAACACCCCAGTCCTTGTGAGGCTACATCATGCTGGAGTGAGGACTTCCGCCCTCCTTGGGTATCTGGGATGCAACACCTCAGTGGCATGATCAGTTGATGTTGTTTGCTTCAGGGTCTTACAAACAAATAGGTGGACCCGGTCACCTGATGCTGTCCATGTCATGTTCATTCGTGTCCCGCCGTATTGGTGAGGCGGTTGCGTGCCTGTTGTGTGATTTTGTTCCGGTCATGCGCTGGTGATGTCCGGTCATGTTTGTCAGGTAGTGTTTATCAGCGTTGGGGCTGCCTTGGTGTCCGCAGAGGTGCAAAGCCATGGTTTGGTGATGAAGGGCCCGTGTAGCAAATCAGCCCTCAACTACGTGTACAGATTGCACTGAAGAACCTTTGGGGTACTCGGTAGAGATTGACCCTGCAACGATCGATTTAAAGAATGTATTGCTCGAAGAGACGCGCTCAACGCTTGTATGAGGTACTATACGCTTGCACTGTTGCAAAAACTTTAGCACGCACGTTATTTATGGCTATTTCATATTCATGTGCAACACTGAGAATATGTTCAATAGTGCACCCGCTGCACTACACAATGTGAAGTCGCCAATAGGCTTTGCGAAGACCATTGCGTTGCAGCGACGTTGCAGGGGCTGTAGCGCTATGTAGCGCTCACATTGCTTGCAAGACTACATTGAGGTATAAAATATGCAATACCATGGATTGTTGCAGTTCAGAAAGGGCACTAAATTGCAAAGCCTGACGAAGACACACACACACACACAGCTATACAAATCGAGCCTACTGACCCCCAAGTATAGAGTTTTGTTGCAGACCCTGAGTTGCAAAGGCTCAAGTGCACAGACTGCATAGACATGTTGCGCAAACTAAAATACTGTACATGATAATACACTTACACACCGACGGTGCATAGCCCTTTCTATACCAGACGGGCAAAGACAAGGATAGTGCAAAGGCACATTAATACACTAAGAACATGCATACACTTACACTTACACTGGTGTGTGTATATTATATATATGCAAAGTTTACACGCGCACACACACACACACATCTCTCTCTCTCTCCAAGCCTGGACACCGTTTAAGTGTATGGAAGGAATGTGAAGGAATAATACTTAATATTGCATTTGGTGAAGTGGTGCTCCACCTCCAGCTCTGCGTCCTTTTGTCCGCCTTTCCTTGCAGGGCAGGGGCAGACAGATACACACTATGCACTGCCACTAGACTAACAGCCACCCTCCATGGACACTGATGCGCAAGGGTGGAGGCTACATAAAAGCAATGTGATCTATGAGTATTTTTGCATTTTTTGCTATTGTTATAGTTCGCAGCGACGTTGTTGTTGTTGTTGCTGCTGCTGTTGTTGGCTTTTTTGCTTTTGTTTGGACAGTCTTGTTCCAGTTGTTCGTGTTGTGTCTTTAGTGTGATGTTCTGCAGGGTTGCTTTCGAAGCAACAATTGGGTTCCAGTTTTTGTCACTACTAGAAAGCGGGAGAGTCCAAGAGCGCCGATATCATCCGATATTTGACACCAAACTCTTGTTTTTGTTTTGTACATTTTTTTGTTCTTGTTGTCGTCGACGTCATAGGTTTTCGTGTTGTCCTTGAATAGATGATTTTGTTCCCACACGGCCTTTTAATGTAATAGCCTCCTGTGATCTCCTGTGCTTTCTTTAGCAGTCAAAAGAGGTGGTTGGGACACCATACCACAGAGCACCACCAACCACCAGAAATGACCGCGTATCACCAGAACCACCGTAGACCACTAGATCCACTAGGTAAGGTACCATTTTGCATCGCCACACGTCAGTACGGAAATAACTGAAATAACATCTATTTTTAACACGAGTATTTGCATCGCATCACCAGAAGCCACCTCCGTTGAAGCGCAAATATCATCAAGAATCAAGAGCCACCGCAAACGATTTCTGAATTTGCACAGATCATTGCCATGCAACTAAACCGCAAGGCCTCAAAATAAGGGACTACTCGATCCAATGTTGTTTGAGTGGTGTTGTCATTGTTTGTTATGTATGCAACCAAGGCTGGCACAGAGATGTTCCTGATGAAGAAGAGAGACCCTGGCCCTGTCCCAAAAAGTTTATTCACGTGATTTGGCTGCAGTCAAGAGTTTCCAGTTTGTAGAATGAGATGGTTGCGTGTGTCCTGTGAGGCAAGCTGAGTGTGTCCCGGAATGCCGCATTTTGCAGTCCGGCGAATACAGTTATACGAAGCCAATACCGTTCACAGAGTTTTTTTTATATGAGATATTCCAAACTTCAACATCGACAGGTCTGTCTGCAGGTTTGGTTGAATAGATGATACTCATGATCAATGATCAATTGTTACTATCAATTTGGTGCAACTTGGCTGACTTTTGCAATGGATGGCTAAAATATGCTAAAATCATCCTTTGGCGCCTATCGCGATGGGAAGTTAATTTTAAAAAGCGCGGGGGTCTGGAGAATTTGGATCTCAGCCTTCCAGCGCGTTTGGACCCAAGGGATCTAAGCAAGCGTTGAAGATCATTGATGGACCCTCATTGTTTTACTTTGGGAGGGACAAGAAGGGCCACTTTTCCAAGCCTGCGGATGTCCGGCAGCTCTTGATGCCTTTGGTCAAGTGTGCCAACAGGTGCATGATCCAACCGATACGAGCATTGCTCAAAAAGGTCTAAGTCTAAATAAGTGTCATTCTTGTCAAAGAGAGCTGTCACACCGGAACGATGTCAGGAATGGAGCGTGTGGATTCTTGTACATATTTGGCTAGTGGCCATTGATTAACGCACGAACAATGTCTATGAGTCAATACCCGGACTCAACTTGACACTAGGGCATACCAGAGCTGCTTGTTCCATTTGACGGACAAGCCAAAGAGTCGAAACGCGAAAAGGCTCAAAAGAGCATGAATTGAAACGAAACAGCTTCAGCCGCTGCCCCTCACGCTACGAAACTCGGAGTGTAGCTCTCGTGGACGATGGGGCAGCTCTGCCATCAAGAGTAACAGTAACAGATACTCATGCTGCAAGACTCGCATTGCAAGACCGTGTGACAAGCAGCATCTCCGGTTCTGGACAAGTGCCAACCGCTTAACACTCAAAGCATCTCAAAGCCAGGCTAGACTGCTTCTCAATCTCAACAAAAAAGACCGGTTTGTTCGCAGAGCTTGAGATTCTTGGAGTCATTTGAATGTGCATTCATGCATGGTGAGTGCAGCTTGCCAGACTTCGTTATGGGTCCTTCTCAAGGTGCGACTGCCAGTGGATTTGGACGCCCTTAGACCTAGACAATATACGAAGATGATATATCACAACATTGTATGTCGCGAGACGCATGAAGTACGTTCTTTTTTTTGCATTGTTCGACACACTTGAAGGTACATGTTTTGGGATGGCGCGTTCCATGGTATCTTGACTGCCGCCACAATACCGAATGGCCCCAAGCTTGGCTGGATTGTTCTTTCATGGTTTTTCATCAGCCACCATTAGCCCCTGATCAGTCCGGAGCCTACTGGTGACATCTAGAAAATTATGTCCATATGTTGAAAGATATAAATGTTACCGCCGTGAACTGGGCAAGCCAGGGCCCTTGAGTCACTTGGACACGAAAACAAACGGATCGCGTTGAGATTCAAACTGGTAAGGTAGCGGAGCTGGTGCTGGAGAGTGCTTCCCAGCCCGGACTCTCACAGCGGCTCATCGATCCAGGAACGTGTGGGTTTGGCAGCTTTTGGCTGACCAGAGTTGGAGGTTGGTTGATTGTGTGACTGTAGCAATATCCCTTGCAGGATTGCGTTCCAGATCTTCTATCCGCGGTGTGGCCCCTCAAAGCAGAGAGCAGCTCCCACACAAAATGCGGCAGATCTGGCTGGACTCCATGAGGGTGTAAACTCCGGACCAGAGTGGATATGGATAGAGTTCACGAACCAGACGGCCAACAAGAAGATGGCTGACCGGGCCAACAAGTCAGATGCGGCTCGCCTACCACCGAACTTGAGTCGCACGCTTGATGCTTGCGTCGTTTGCAGCCTTGCGGAGGACCAAATTGTTTGCTCCAGGCGTGACAAGCGCGTAGATCCGGCGAGAACCTATGAGCTAACTTCTCCGAATGGAGCAGCCGCGTGGAGGATTGTCGAGCTTGGACGGTGTGAGATCCCAGACGATGCAGTAATCGCGCGCAGAGTTCCCATTGATTTAGTGGGACTTGCGACGCCTGAAGAGGTTTCTACTTGAGGATGAACCCAGAGAGCCTTGCAGCCGGACTTCAGGTATCCAATATTTGCCCTGCAACCTACTGCAAGTGGAAAGATGATGGCAAGATCATTGCGTCGATCTGCGCGCGTGGATGACCTTTTGATCGCTCATTTGGACCAAGGATGCAGTTGTTGGGCAAATTCTTGATCGGCAAGATATTCAGGACTGTGGAGACGCTTCGCCCAGGACCCGGACTACGCCGTCGCAAAGGAAGCAAGCTGGTAACGATCAGGGCCGGACTCAAGGGCCTACTTCATTGCGAAGCGTGGTTGGCAACTTGGCATGGGTGAGCAGGTATATGGAGGGGTATGGAAGACCTGACCCACAAAGCGACTGATCAGGAGACGACATGCAGTGCAAAGGCAACGGTGAATTGATTGGAGTGACCTGATGATTGGACGCAACTTTTGTCTCACCAACAAGGGTGATAGTGAGACTGAGAAACCATGTCATCTCATGGACCTTGGCGGAAATTTACGCCTTACAAAAACCAGGAGATCCTTTGAGGGCAGTGACGAATGAGATGCCTGGACGAAACTGTTGAACTGGCACGAGGAATACAAACCTAGATGAAACATCTCTATCTTGCAGATCGTTCACTCAGTGAGCATTTGTGCGCTGAAGTGATGCGCGAAGTTCAAGATAAGCGCCTAGGAATAGAGTCGCCGAGCTTGAGGCGCGGGCTGTTGCACTGTGGCCCGACGGAGAAAGACGGATGGATCGCTATGTGGCGCGCGGGGATGATGAGCTCCGATGGACTGATGGAGGCAGTCAGCTTGCTGATTGTTTCACAAAGTTCACGCAAGCAGACTACTTGCTTCGAGTGTTGGTCAGCGGCGAGGCGGTGATCGAGACTTGAGAGGTAGGTTCCAGAATTCATGCCTGGTATGTGAAGTTGTTTACTCCGTTGGAACCAAGAGGCCCAATCCACGGAACCTGAAACGGTAGAAAGCTCTGCCGATAGCCCGCGTCAAACGTGTAGATAAGACGGGTGTGATTTCATCCATTCGTTTGTCGTTTGTATCTTGTACAGCTGCCAGGGTATGACACGTACCGCAAAGTGGGCTCACAATAGTGCCTTTGAGTCAGTGGGAAACCGATTATGACTGGTTGAAAAAGACCCAGGACCAGCTTTAGGCAGGCATTGGAAGCACTTGGCGGTTCTTACCAGGACTGTGTAAGTAATACCGATGTATACAGTACAGTATAGCCTACTTTCAAGAGTTCACATCTTTGAGGACGAAGTTTTTTGGTGGTCTCAAGCCTTGCTGGAAAGGACACACCTGGTTTAATATTAATATGCTTCAGTGCATGCTGTGATTGCCGCTGGGCGATTCTGACACGTCAGGATTGAGCCAAGCTTCCTCCGCGTTCAGAACGCTGATCATTTGTACTTCCTTTGTAACGAGCCATGTTTTTCCTCGCAATGTTTCGCTTTACTTTTGGATCTCCCTGTGGTAAGGCAATCCAAATGGAAGCCTAGAAGATGATGAGCTGGTACCTCTTCAGGAAAGGAATGCCCAGAAGTCTTCGTTCCCTCTTTATAGGTATAACGACGTGGATCCAACATACGACGAGAATCAACCTGTCTCGACAGTCAGATGAAGAGAGCATATTTCGATTGAGCACCGGAACTGCTCACTGGCCGACGACTCAGATGCATTTTTGTATGTGTTTGCACGTGTTCCACGGGTGTGGTTGCAATCACGCACAGAATATACAAAATGAACAACGAAGAAAACATTTTTCCTCGAACAGGTTTACCCGTGAGGGGTTCTTACTCCGGCGCGTGGCTTTACATTTATGCCCTGGCGCATGATTTTACATTTGTCTCCCATTCCCGTCCCTTCTGGGTGCGCTGGCCGGATGGTTCTACATTTGTCTCCCACTTACTTGTGCGCCACTGCCTCCACTCTTCTGTGGTGCTTTGGCCGTGTGATTTTTACACTTGTCTCCTATTTGCCTCCCACTGTCTCCAGTTCGCTGTGGGTGCTTTGGCCGCATGATTTTGCACTTGTTACCCATTGTGTAGGTGATTTTACACTTGCCTCCCATTGACCTCCCACTGTCTCCAGTCCTTGGTTGGTGCTGTGGCTGCATGATTTTACTGGACTTGGACCTACTGGACCAAACAAACTGTTTGGGGTCAACGCTGGTATCTTTTTGTTCGAGGAAAACGCCCGCAAAGCTGTTGCTCAGGACCATGGAGGAGCGGGAACACAGAAGCTATGCTCTTGGTGACTTCTGTGACATGCTGAGTCTTAGCCGTGATGAGCTCATGAATGTTCATGACCAGGAATTTTGTACCGATCTTTCGTTCAGATCGCGGATGACATTTTACGAATCAAAGTGAAACGCCTTCTTTTGGTTCCTTTGAGGTTACTTTGGCTACATGGCTGCGATCGCCTACCGTACGAGGTGTGAATCTATACACTCTTTGCGCAAAGCTTTATGATACCAACAAACTGCTGAGGCGTAATGTTCATTGCTAATGTACCCGTCCCATAGCGGAGCTCTACCTTGGACCCGAAGGCAGTATAATGCCTGAGACGGTGTCCTATGATACAGCTATTCTTCGGATATATTTTTGCAGCAGGTCCTTGTCCAGAGTATTGTAAACAGTACAATGGCGTGTGTGTGCGTGTGTGTGTGTGTGCGTGTGTGTGTTTTCAACTGGCACACCGCGTGGCCAAAGTCCGTCTGTGATGTCACTGTGCCAGTCGGATTTGCGCGGCGTCGGTGAAAAGTGTGTTTGCGTGAGTCTGTGCCATTGGGGGGGGGGGTGGCATGCTGGCGTAAATGCGGCGTGTTGCTCGGGAGCAGGAGATGGGCGGCGCCCGCAACGCTAGATGTGACATGGTTGTATGTAGCTTGTTGCGCACGGTGTGGCCAAAGTCCGTCTGTGATGTCGCTGTGCCACGCAGCTTCGGTGAAAAGCGTGTTTGCGCGAGTTACGTGGCTGGGTGTGTCGTGGTTGCATGTTAGTGTGTTTGTGTGAGTCCATGCCGCTCGGGGAGGAAAGCGCGCTGGCATAAACGTGGCGTGTCGCTGGGGAGCTTGGCAGGGGAATGCGTTTATGAAATGGGGTTTGGCAGCTTATTCCTGGGAGGGTGTGGACAAATACGATAGGCCTTGGCAGGCGAAATTGTTCCCCAATAGCCATGCTATGGGGTCTTGCAAAACTAATAGGCGGGGCGCCGTCGGGTCACCGTCAGAGCTGGTGCGCGGATGGTGTCCCGGTCATGTTTTGATGGCGTCCGGGTCATGTGATGCTGGTGTCCCGGTCATGTTTTGATGGTGTCCCGATCATGTCTTGATTGTGACCATGGTGTCCCGGTCATGTTTTGATGGTGTCCCGGTCATGTTTTGATGGTGTCCCGGTCATGTTTTGATGGT